GGGCTAGTCCCATACTACACAGAAACATCAACCGCGACGTCTCTGTTGCCAGCTTTGCAGCTGGCCATAGCAGTAGTCAAAACATGAAGCAAATCAATGTGTGTGTGTCTGTTGATTAAGTGGTGTGTAGCTAAAAACATTCTCACAGACTTCTAGTAACATGTCGTGACGTCATAATAATAATATTAAACATCCTGTCTGCTGACAGTCATCAACTCTTCTCTCTAGTATCCTTGACCAGATGTACCCTGTAGAAACTCATAAGCATGACTAAGCATTTAACAGTCTAACTAGACATCCTATCTCCACTAAACATTTCTAATACATAAAGTATCTATCCAATATCTATCTGACTAAAAATACCTGACAGTACACAGGGAGGGCTCACTGCATGCTAGCAAATGTTGGATATAAATTAGCCCAATATCTATCTGACTAAAAATACCTAACAGTACACAGGGAGGGCTCACTGCATGCTAGTAAATGTTGGATATAAATTAGCTTCGTCATTCATAAGTTAGTTATTGCTAGTATGGTGTTAAGAAAGTTTATATTATAATGGAACAATTTTAAACTAAAGTTACCTTAAATGTGACGCTGGTTTTGGTCCTGGTCTAGAAAACAGTAGGAAGCTAAATGTTACTAGTCCTTAAGAAAGAGGTTGCTTAGTGTAGCTAACCTAGCCTACTGCTAGCTAGCTAGGCCAAGCTAACTTACAGGAATGGTTAGGCTGATTACATAACATAACTACGGGTCACGCCTGGTTACGATCGTAGCAGAGATCTAACTTCGCGGCAAATGGAAATTAATGTGCTCTAATCAAATCCTGATAATAAGATGTTTTCAGAACGCTATTACTAATAATTAATTAACCACACAAATTCTAACGTTGTGTGTTGCCAACAATAAATCGTGTCGAGAAAGCATTAAAGTGAGTGAAGACAAATATGTGCTTCATTTCCTGCCTCTCGTTAAACCTATGAAATAAACACAGTAAACACCGTTAACACACTGCTAGCTTTGTTTGTTAGCAAGCAGGTTAGCAACAGCGGTGGAATCTGACAGCTAACGCTAACCTTTACTTTTATTGAATTTTTACTTACCAAACCCCGTTCTTCGGTCTTTTGTGTTACTGTTGAAGGCAATGATTTTGTCTTAATTATCCAGGCTAACTCGTACTTGATTGTGGCTTTTCGACAGCGGTTCAACCACAGATACTTGAGCTCCGCTATCTGTAGCCACAGTAACTCTGAGGTGTCTTGTTTTCATCGTGAATGGTTGAGTCCAGTTTTAATGTGCCATGCACGCTCCTCCCACGCCAATGACGTAAGGTGATGTCAAGAACGTGCAAGTCACTTCCGGTGTGGAAATATCAGCTGCCATATGGAAACGTCCAGTAACATCTGGAAAGACGCAGGCCACCACAGCTCTACTCATTCATTTAGTGGGGAGTGTTTACCGTTTTATGATTAGCACAAACAAAGAAATCTCCCTGAGCGATTTTAACTTGTGTATTTAGTTAAAAAACTATAAAGATAAAATACCAATGTATTTGACAATAGACTATTTCCAACTGTGAGAATATTTTCAGAAAATAGCCTACAGATTTTTTAAAATTACATATCATGTGTGGTGCTATGCAATATACCTACTTCAAAACAGTGTGATATAAATAGCTTACCCTGCTTGTAAATGTTGGTCCATCTCTATTTATGGATTTCGTGATGACAGCTGCATATCTGGAAAGCATAAAGAACGTGCATGTATGGTATCATTTCTGTCTGGACACTAAGTGAACTTTTCATATGTATACATTTACTGATCACAAACGTCAACATATTAAATGAATCACATCAGCATAAATTTAGACATAGTAAAATACTATGTTGTTCGAACAGTTCCACAAAAGTAACCTCAAGCAATCAGAATTTAACCAACAGTCATGATCATAAAATAACCAGAGCAGTGGCAGGCAAACAATAATCCTATTGCTGAACCCTGGACTACTGTTCCAGTATACAAAACAACATTTTTTGGTGGATAAATTACAAATGTAGTCTGATGATGATTATTATTTTTACTAGGTAGTCCATTAATGAGTAATTGCTTTTATATCAATGAAATACAGTTTCAAACATTTAAAAAATCCTGTCCAATGTAATGTATTCATTTAAACACCCCTGTAATAAATACCTTTGTAACTGTTTGGTCCACTTCCATTTACATGTTTCGGTTTCGACAGAAAATTAGAAACACTGCTGTCGCCTTGATTGTTTTATTTTGAAAGGTTTTACTGGAAGACTTTATACAATGCTGTCTATTTTGGCGCTAGATGGTGTTGATAGTTGAGACTCTTCACTGCCCTCCAGTGGTCTCATATGGAACAGCAACATTGCTTTAAATTTGTGGCAATAACCTTTTAAATATTGATATAAAGTTGTAAATTTCAATACTTTGTCTGGCTTAATAGAAAGAATTTCTGTTTATATTATGTTATATTTTTTATTTACCATGGTGTGATGTTGCTGTTCCTTTTCACAACACTTAAAATACATTTAGGGACTGAGGACACCAAGTGATTAAATGCGTCAGGTGTAATTTTGTCCCATTCTTCCTGCAAACAAGTCTTGAGGTGAGCAACAGTCCTGGGTCTTTGTTGACATAATTTGCATTTCAAACTGCACCATGTATTCTCTATTGGGACAGGTCGGGACTGCCGGCAGGCCAGTCCAGCACTCGCATGCTTTTCCTCTACAGCCTTGGTAATGTGTGCAGTATGAGGTTCTTGTTGAAATATGCATGGGCTTCCATGGTAAAGATGTCATCTTGAAGGCAGCATATGTTTCTCAGAATCTCTATGCAGTTTTCAGCATTAATGGTTCCATCACAAAAGTGTAAGTAACCTTTGCCAAGGGCACTGACATGACCCCAGACCATGACAGACCCTGGTTTTTGGACTTGTTGCTGGTAATAGTCTGGATGGTCCTTTTTGTTTTTGGTCTGGAGCACATGGTGTCCATTCCTTCCAAAAAGACATGAAATTTGACCACAGTGCACATTTCCACTGTGTGATGGTCCTTCCCAGATGCCGCTGTGCCCAGAGCAGTTGACTACACTTCTAGATACTGTTGACATAGGGCTTCCTTTTGGCACAATACAGTTTTAAGAGGCATTTATGGATGTAACTACATATTGTAGTGCCTGACACAAGGGTACCAAAGTAATCCTGAGCCCATGTGGTTATATCGCTTATAGAATAGTGATGATTTTTGATGCAGTCGTCTGAGTGTTCGGAGAGCACGGTCATGCAGCTCAGGCTTGTGCCCTTTATGCGCTGAAATCCATCCAGATTCCTTGAATTTTTTAATTATGTTATGCACCGCAGAAGGTGACATATCCAAATCCCTTCCTTTCTTTGAGGAACATTGTTTTTGTCTTTGGATTTTGGGAGGAAGCCGGAGTACGTGGAGGTTTGAACCCAGAACCTTCTTGCTGTGAGGCAAGAGGGCTAATCACTGCTCCACCATTCCGTCCCAATACAGTAAATTTTTGCTAAAATTAATTTTATATTATATTATAATATAATATATT